CACAGACCGTGACAGACACTCACGTGACCCATCACAAACCGTGATAGACAGACTCCAGAGACCATCACAGACCGTGACAGACACCGTTCATGGGTCTGCACAGCGACTGATAGCCGCCTTCAGCAGACTATCAAATGTTCTGTATAACTAACATCTAATCGGAGTATTGATGGAGTATTTCCTTTATGGAATTCTACTCTGTCAATTTAGCAATGCAGGTGGAATATACCCAGTATACGTAAAAAAGAAAAGTTTTTAGAGAATTAGTAAGAATATAGGGTGTCCGGAAAGTCCTTAGAGTTAGGAAAAATTTCATATCTCCTTTACGGCTCAACCAAACGAACTCATTTTTTTAGCAAAGATTGAGGCACGTTCACACTCCAAATCCATATGGACAAGAGTATTGAGAATCTTTGTTAAGTATCACTATTGACCTTAACAAGAAAATTTTACTGTTCCACAGAGAGGAAGAAAAACCATATACTTAACAAAGGTTCTCACTAACTTTGTCAGTATGGATTTGGAGTGTGGATATGCCTCTATCCCGGGTAAAAATATCAGTTGGTTCGCTCAAGCTATAATGAAGAGAGTCAATTGTCTTTTCAATAAAGTGTCTTTTGCCCTATCCTGTGTAATGTTTGTTTTCCTAACTGTGAAACAGTAAAATTTTCTTGTTGAGGTCAATAGTGATACTTAAAAAAGATTCTCAATACCCTTGTCCATATGAATTTGGAGTGTGAACATGCCTCAATCTTTGTTAGAAAAATGAGCTCGTTCAGTCCAACCGAAGGGGGAAACAGCAGAGACTTCAGCCATGAAGTCTCATGAAGTTTTGAAAGTCTTTCGGAGTGTTCTGAAGTCTCTTGAAGTCTTATAAAGTCTCATGAATTTTCATTAAGTCTCTTGAAGTCTCTGAAGTCTCATAAAGTCTTATGAAGTCTAATAAAGTCTCATGAAGTCTTATGAAGTCTCATGAAGTCTCATGAAGTCTCTTGAAATCTAATGAAGTCTGATGAAGTCTAATGAAATCTCTTGAAGTCTAATGAAGTCTCACGAATTCTTCTGGAAATTTTGAAATATATTTAGTGCATGAAAATTCATAAGAAACCAATGAAATTGTCTTGTTTTCGACGGTCATATCTTAGCAGAAAGGTGAACCTTTTATTGTTTTCTTTTCAATGTGCTGGAAAAAAATTCAAGTTTGTCGGATCTTAGAAAACATAATAGTTAATAACTAAATGCTTTTTGAATGATGTGATTTATTTTTATGAGAAATATGTCCATCTATTCCATGTCAGTCTTATGAAGAATTTTATTCCTTTTTGTTTGTTTCTATCACTCGTGATAATCTATCACTCGTGATAATCTATCAGCCGATAAACGGCTAGCTTTATCGGTCAATAAACAACAAGCCGTTTGCTTGTGTATAAATTTAGTCTTGTTATTTATTTGCACCTGAAAATAGGAGTTTTTCAATGCTGGATTAATCAAATCAAATATACGCGTACCAGTAAAGTTTATCTTCTCTGCTTTAATTTCATCAACACTTTGTGTCATTGCCATATCTTTATTCTAGATATGGATGTACTGCGAGAAACAACTCTCAGAAACAAGAAACACCTTTGTAATCTCTATATGATAAGTTTTGTTTTTTGCATGTTATAGAAGTTTCATGTAATTCCTATAAGGTTTTTTGATACGCATGGAATCTGTCTCTTGAAGTCCTGTGAAGTCTAGCGAAGTCTTGTGAAGTTTTATGAAGTCTTGTAAAGTCTTATGAAGTTTTGCGAAGTCTGGCAAAGTCTTGTGAAGTTTTATGAAGTCTTACGAAGTCTTATAAAGTCTGATGAAGTCTTATAAAGTCTCAAGAAGTCCTACAAAGTCTATGAAGTCTCACAAAATCCGTGAAGTCCCATGAAGTCCGTGAAGTCTCACGAAGTCTA